CTTCTTCTTCTTCTTCTTCTTCTTCTTCTTCTTCTTCTTCTTCTTCTGTCCAACCTCTTTGCCTTTCAGGATGGGGATTGAGAGTTTTAGTCAGGGTCCCCTCTCTTGATTAGTTTCTTTAGATGTACAGTTTTAGTAGGTTTATCCTATATTATATGTCTATATGAGTGAATATATACCATGTGTGTCTTTCTGCTTCTGGGACAGCTCACTCAGGATGATCCTTTCTAGGTCCCACCATTTACCTGCAAATTTCATGATTTTCTTATTTTTCATTGCTGAGTAATACTCCATTGTGTAGATGTACCACAATTTCTGCATCCATTCTTCAGTTGAGGGGCATCTGGGCTGTTTCCAGCTTCTGGCTATTACAAGTCCCCTGACTTGAGACAAAAAGCCTGGTAGCTTAAAGCAAAGACCTTATGGACTTTTTCTTCTACCAATAGTCTCCCTGCTGGTGGACAGGCTAAACTAGTTCAAGGCCTGATCAGGACATGTTTCCACAACAGTTGTGATCCAGTCTTCCACCCTGTCTTTCTTCAAATTGACCAACCCTAAGTTAAAGGAGGAACTCTTCAGAGACTTTAAAATCCCAGGCCTGGAGAAGAGACTTTTTTTAGACAGGGTTTCTCAGTGTAGCCTTGGCTGTCCTGGACTTACTTTATAGACCAGGCTGGCCTCGAACTCACAGAGACTGCCTGCCTCTGCCTCCCTGAATGCTGGGATTACAGGCATGCACCACACACCAGCAAGATGAATTTTTTTACTTCCCCAGTTCTCTGCTTTGCAGAGGGTTTTCCCCTGCGTATCAGCGGCATGCTCCTGTTTCCTCACCCCAAGAAAACGCTTTTCTCCTACTGCTGGTTCTGTTTGCTCCTGTTTGCTGTGTGAGATTTTTCTCTGCTGCTACTTTCCTCTTAATTCTTTAACTGACAGAGAAAACCAATACCTTCAAGACCCCGGACTTTAACACTTCCTGCCTCTTCAATGAAGCCTCCATTTAAAAAACAAAAACAAAAACAAACAAACAAACAAAACCCCTGCAAGGGCAGGGTTCAGGAAGTTTCTTGGCCATGAAAACCTGAGGGCACCAGCCAGCAGTGTGCTCAGACAGGTGTGGAGCTCTGAGCACCTTCTCACATGCCTCCTCCCTGTGTATCTCTTCCTTCTGGCAGGATTGCAGAATTATGAACTGGTATTCTAGTAAACATAGTATTTTTCTGATTTCCGTGAGTGATTCCGGAAAAAGACAGAGGTCAGAATGAGAACCTCCAATTTTCAGGTATTTGCTCAAAAAGCAGAGTGGTAGACTGGATTTGCAAATGGCAGCTGAAGTGAGGGTGAACCCCATCAGAGGGACCTGTCTTGTGATGGTTAGTGTTTAGTGTGTGCCTGACAGGACCTCTAATTCCCAAGGAGGCACGCCTCCAGGCACACCTGTGAAGAAAGAGTTCACCTCTGGACACACTTGTGAAAGAGCCTCTTGTTTGGGTTAATTGAGGTGAAGAGATCCATGCTGTAGGACATTAGCACCATTTCCTGGGCATGGACCCTGGACCACATAAAAAGAAAAAGAAAAAGAAGAAATCTGCTTATGTACCAGCATTCACTGCTCTCTGCTTGCTGTTTGTGGCTATGACATGACCAGCTGCTTCAAGCTCTTGCCACCCTGACTCCTGCACTGTGAGGAGACTGAACCTTTGAACTGTGAGAAAAAGTACACTCTCTTTCCTCTAGATGGCTCACTGCTCCAATCAGTAGAAGCTATCCCTCTGCGCTGCAACATCTGGCTCAAAGAAAAAGATCTTTTCCCGCCTGCTTTTGAGCCCTACAGTAGAGCAGAGTGAGCTAGAAAGCAAAGAGGGGATCATGGAGGTGCTGCATGGCCGTGGGACTGGACAACCAGGCAGTGAGCTCCCAGGCAACCTGGGTAACTTAGTGCAACTGTGTCTCAGATCTTAACTAAACCGATATTTTAAACGGTGCATTTTAAGATCTCCCATCTGCGTGAATGTGCGCTGGACATTCAGCTTGTTCCCACGTGTTTGTACATGTGTTTCTTCTTTTTAGGTGGGCAGGAAAAAGCTATGTGCCATCACTGCACTGCAGTGGGCATGGCAGGGTGGCGGTGAGACCAGTGAGATGCTGGCAGTGTATGCCACTCCAGCTGGGGCCAATGCACAAGTCCCATGATCGCTCATGCCCAGCTCTTACTGAGTTGGCATCCTACACAGGGTTATTAGCCTTTCCTCACCCTGAGTCCTGAGCCACCCATGCCAATAACTGTCCCACGGGCAGGAAAAGCAAGGCATGGTTTTGCTGTAACAAGCTACTGAAGAAGAGTGGCAACAGCTGCTGCAGTGGAAGTTGCTCTAAAGTAATGAATGCAGAAGGACGCCAGAGGGAGGAGGCTTGAAACACCTTTAAA